TACAACTCATGCAAACACTCAACCTTTCTGAAATGACTCAAAACAACTAACAGTTCTCCTGCTCACAGAGGGCCGACTGTGGTCTCCTCACGCACGTACGCAAGCACACACGCACAAACCAAGGCAGGCATGAAAGTCTAGAGCTACTGGAGCATGGCCTTGGCAGTCACTCTGAGGCTACATGTCAGGCAGTGACTGCCCAATCACACATGCTTCAACACAGCATAGGCAAGCCACACCCAGCTCCAATGCAGAGACCCCATATGCGCCTTGTGCAAAGATATTAGAAAGACAGCTGGAGCCGGGCGTTGGTGGCGCACGCCTTTAATCCCAGCATTCGGGAGGCAGAGGCAGGCGGATCTTTGTGAGTTCGAGACCAGCCTGTTCCAGAACAGCCAGTTCCAGAACAGCCAGGGCTACACAGAGAAACCCTGTCTGTGAGTGAGTGAGTAGCAGACTAGCTAAGTCTTTTGGTCTCTTCTAATGTCAGTTAAGTCACCACCTGACCTCCCCGACCTCCTCCACTACACACCTCTGAAACTTTTGCCAGCAGCGCCCTTTATGCTCTTCTAAAGAGTCTTGGAGGCCCCCAAAGAGGTTTTTTTAATGAATTACATTCATCAACACTTTCTGTATTAAAGGGCAAAACATTTTCAAATGTAATATGTTATTAACTAATTTAAAAGTAATTATAAACTCATTATTTATTCAAACAACTAACATTCTGTGAAAAATAAGAATATTTTCAAAAGTGCTAGTGAGACAAGAGGCTGTGTTCTCCATTCTTGTGAGTCTCCTGAGCCTGTAGCTTTGGCGAGGACAGCTGCAGTCCATCTAACACGTGTGTCCACCTCGTTCCCAAGAGGAAGACCTACAGCCAGAAAGGGCAGGAGGATGCAGACATCCCAGCAACAATCGGCTGCTCAGTACGTGGTGCTCTGTGAAGAGCTGAACCCATCTGAATGCTAAAGCATCTGTGGCCCCGCACCCCACACAGCCCTCATTGGCCTATTGGTTCCTAGAAACACGTTTAAATGTTGCTATACTCCATTCTACAGTATCCAAAAAAAAAAAAAAGCTATACATGTGTTCACATCATGTTCTCATTAGAGCACTCTTTAAGTATTAGATCTGTCAACTTCCCCAAGGTTTTTCAAACTCTAATTTTCATTTGAATGCTCAAATCTCACTGGCAACAACATTGTCCAATGTTTTCCTTAAAACATTCGCTTGGTTCATTTTCAAGAATACAAATACGTCTTCCAACTACATAGACCTAATACCCAAAGAGGGCGAGTCACAGTGTTCATTAACTCAGTAGCTGGCCCCTCCCCTACAAGTCTGCAGTGGGTTAGTCCGTCCACAAAGGCAGAACAGGAAGATAGGAGAAAGGGAGAGAAAGCCCTCACTCAGGAATCTGGCTGAAGCCTCCTGCCAGGAAGAATGTTAGTACAATTAACTGCCTGTGGCCCTTCTCCCTTCCCTGCAATTTTCTAGGAATCTCATCAGAATTCTCACTTACGGGGAAAAGATATGAAGGAAATTCCTTGTGCAACCCTAATGGCTCATGGTTTTGCCTTATCAGACTCTAATTCTATGCAAGACATCTCCAGAACCACCTTGCTTATCTTTATCTCACTAATCCAAAAAGAGAAAAGGGGGCAGGGGGGAGGGTTAACCTGAGAGCCACCAAGATGGCTGCTGCTAAGAATTGTGTCTCTAACATAAGGAGCCCATTTGGGGGTATGACTTACTTTCTCTGACTCTGCTTTTGTTTTTTTCGATGGTTGGTCCTGACTGTCCTGGAACTCAGTCTGTAGACCAGGTTGGCTTCAAACTCAGAGATCCACCAGCCCTTGTCTGGGGAGTGCCAGCACTAAAGACAAGCACCCCCACACCCAGCTTCAGTCCTCTTTGAGGGGCACACGCCCATGCTCTCTCTTTCTCCTGAGCTCCTTCCTCTCTGTCTCAACCTCAGGTCTAACCCTGCATTAAAGATCTTCAGTGAGATCTTCAGTTCTGCTTCATCACTGAGCCACCTCTTCAGCCTGCCTGTAAGAACTATTAAGTACAACAGTAAAACATAACAACCTTTTACCACCAGCCCATGAAAGACCCATGTTTAACTCTAATTCATGTGTTTCTAGTTACTTGACAATTATATTCCCCAAACACTATTGATACACATATGTAGCATTACCCATATACAGAACTAACCAAACAACAATCTAAAGTCACTTAGTAATTAATGGTTCAGTGGTTTAGAGCACTGACTGCCCGCCCTTCCAGAGAACCTGAGTTCAATTCCCAGCGACCACATGGTGGTTCACAGTCATCTGTCATGGGATCTGATGACCTCTTCTGGCCTGCAGGCGTGCATGCAGATAGCGCCCTCATATACATATAAATAAACAAATAGATCTGGAAGGAAGGAAGGAAGGAAGGAAGGGAGGGAGGGAGGGAGGGAGGGAGGGAGCGAGCAAGGAAGGAAGGAAGGAAGGAAGGAAGGAAGGAAGGAAGGAAGGAAGGAAGAAAGGAAGGAAGGAGAGAAAAGCTGGCCCTGGTGATGCACATCTGTAACTCCTAGCATTCAAGGAGACTAAAGCAAGAACTGCTGCAAGTTAGGTGCCAGCCTGCATTATACGGCAAGTACCAAGGCAGCAGCCACAACTACTAAACAAGGGCCATCCCCCCCCAAAAAACTTTCTAGCTCCCCAAAGAGGAGGGCACACAGAACAACAGCCACCAGACACCAGACACCCAGCCGGCTGATTAGTCTTTGAGCATGAGCTACGCTTCTAAGCTGCCCAGTTTCATTCATTTGTGCCACCTTCCCACTCTTATGGCCGTTCGCTCCATCCTGCAGCCTCTATTCAGGAGACCCTGTGACAGCAAGTCTCACAAACTTACTGAACACGTTAGGTGACAATTTTCCTCTTCATTGAACAACCTGAAAAGGCCAGAGGCAGCAAACTGTCTTCCCTGATTTTCTGAATAGCAACTCAGGAGTTACTAAGAACTAACATCCCCCCACCCCCACCCCCACCCCAGGCAGGGTTTCTCTGTAGACCAGGCTGGCCTCAAACCCAGAGACTAGCCTGCCTCTGCCTCCTAGGGGCTGGGATTAAAGGCCACCACCCAGCAAACACACACACACAGTCTTTTGTGCTAGGCATTAGTGGTGCACCAGCTCTCGGAAGGCAGAGGCAGGTGGATCTCTCTGAGTTTGAGGTCAGCCTGGTCCTCAAAGCTACACAGAGAAACCCTGTCTTGAAAAAACAAATAATAAATAACAACAACAACAATAGGGTTGTTTACATGCACAAAACTCTTGAGTTTGATTCCTAGCACCAATAAAACTGGACATGATAGTACACACCCCAGCCCAGGATCAGAAATTCACGGTCATCTCTGACTACATAGCAAGCCAGCCTGGGCTACAAGAAACCCTGTCTCAAAAAAAAAATGTTTTTTAAAGTAATGCCTACATTAAAGTGCAGCCTGGTGATGGTGGTGACACATGCCTCTAATCCCAGCACGTGGGAAGCGGAGGCAGAGGAAGGTGGATCTGAGTTCAAGGCCATCCTTATCTACAGACAGAGTTCCAAGGCAATCAAGGTTACATACACCGAAAGCCTGACTTGAAAAAATTAATTTTCAAGGTGCCCATTAATGTATCTTAAACAGTTTGAGTACACGTTTGGGTGGCAACAGAAATCACATTTCCAAAGAAGAGAAGTGAAAATTTAAATGAAAACTCCACTGACAAATAGGAAAAAAAAAACAGAATCGCTTTAAAACAGATTTTTTTTTTGGTTTTCGAGACAGGGTTTCTCTGTATTGTTTTGGAGGCTGTCGGTCCAGCCTGGCCTCGAACTCACAGAGATCCACCTGTCTCTGCCTCCCGAGTGCTGGGATTAAAGGCGTGGGCCACCACCGCCCTGCTGAAAACAGATTTTATAAATGCATTGCAACCAAAAAATGTTTTCTCTCGCCAGTACTAGATATGTCCACAAGACAAACTTTATGCCGTCTCCCTCAACCGTCAGCTTTGATTATCCATGTTGTTTTTGTTCTTGAGACAAGGTTTACACTCAGTAGTTCAGGCTGGTATGGAACTGACTGTGATCCTCCTGCTTCAGCCTGCAAAGCCCTTACCATGCCCAACCTACACTGCTTTAGATTGAATTTTTACAACCTTCTAAACTTCGGCCCCCAATCAACAACCAAAACACTGGTCGCTGCTAGAACTATGTCCATCGTTCAACATCGTACGCATGTCTAAAACAACCGCCTCCTGTAAACATACGCACAAACCAGAAACAAATGACACGACAACCCCAATTTTCTCTTCTATACTGAAAAGTTCACAGGAATGAAAGAGGCCCGGAAGGAGTAAACAATTAAAAATAAAAAGGCTAACTGTGTGCCGGGGGGGTGGTGGAGCATGCCTTTGATCCCAGCACTCGGGAGGCAGAGGCAGGTGGATCTCTGTGAGTTCAAGACCAGCCTGGTCTACAAGAGCGAATTCCAGGACAGCCCTCGAAGCCTCGGAGAAACCCGATCTCCAAAAACCAAAAAAAAAAAAAAAAAAATCAGACGACAAAAGTAGACTAATCACGCGGGTTCCAGTGTTATTTCCCAAATTGTCTTTCCTCTAAGGCTACCAAATATCCTACAGTACAATAGTTCCTAATGTAATTTCTCTTTTTCCTGCATTAAAAACTTCGTTTGAATTAACGAAGTAACGTCGTCGAGCCAAACCAGCCATATACACCTAGGTTCAGCCACAACCGGAGTCTGGAATAGCTTTGGGGTTTTAGTTAGCGTGCAACATGTGGCTTGGAGATACCACCAGTTTTTGTTTTGTTTTGTTTTGCTTTTTCCTTCCCCAAAGAAGCTGTTCTTGCTCAGAACTTTCTGACTCTTGGGGGAAAAAAAAGAAAACTCCCCAAGTTCCGAAGAGAGGTGCCACGGTGGGGGGCGGGGGTCCCGCTTACCCGGTCCTTCATCCTCCAGCTCTGCGCCAGGGATTTGGAGCCTTCGATCTTCTCGCAGTGCCTTTTCTTCATGAAAGCCAGGGGCAGGTTCCAGTCCGCGACGTCGGCCTCCTCTTCCTCCCCGAGTCCCACGAGCGGCGACGGCAGCATCTCCGACTCCATCGGGGGCGCAGGGGGAGGAGGGGACGTCCTGGGCAGCAGGCGCTCGAGGACCTCCAGCCTTAACGACGAGGCGGCGGGGGAGCCGGGACCCGTGTGTGAGGGAGAAGCCGGGAGCGATCTGGGGGCTGGAGGGGGGAGAAGGCGCGTCCGCTTCTCCAGCTCCGGGCGGGAAGGCGCAGGGGGCGGGGTGGGGGTCGAGCCCGGGCGTGGCGGGTGTGTGTGTTGGGGGGGAGGAACCAGCAGCTGCGGGCCTGGGGACGAGCCCGCTCTCCGAGGGCCTCCGACGCCTCGGCGGATCCCGGGACGGACGGACGGACGGGCAGGGCAGGGCCGCCCCGCGGTTCTCCGACTGCGCCCGGCCCGTCTGCGGCGGGTTCCGGCGGCTTCGGGGCTCGCCCGCCGGCTCTCAGCCCTGCGGGTCCCGCACTCGTCTGAGGGGCTGCAACCGGGGCCAGGACCGGCCCATCGTGCCCGCCCGCAGCCGGCTCCTCAACCCCGGGTCCTCACGGCCTCCGGCTTCGCGGCTCTCTCCTGCCCCGGGGATGAGCCCTCGACACACGCACGGCACGGGCCTGCGAGCCACACCGGGGGGGAAAAACTGCGCTGAGGAGGTCACGGGGAGTTTTGCCCTCTGCTCTGAAGCGACAGTGAAACTCCTCTCCTCAGCACACCAAGGGGGACGCCATATTGCCCAGGGCCCGGCATGCACCGCTGTCTACGGCGCGTCCGGTGAACCAAACCTCCTCAAAGCGTTCTCGCCGCTCTTTCTTTCTACACCCCCCCCATGCCTCCCCCAAAGGAGGGCTGGGAGGGCAGAGTCCCGTCCTCCCCGCCCCCACTCCGTTACCCGGGTTACCACGTCCTTGCGCCTTAGTTGATCTCCACTAGCGCAGAAGACTGGTGTTAACAAAAAAAAAAAAAAAAAAAAAAATCAAATCGATCCTGCGATGGAAACTATGTCCGTTCAGTTATCTTTAAGAGCTTTTTGCTATGACAGACAAAGCTGTGTTCCTTTATAGTAGAGTAAAAGACCACTTTGTTTCGTCCTGATTTTAAAATGTGTTTTAAAACAAAAAATCAGAAAGAGCCATTGATGGTAGACACATAAGACTGGGGTCCTTTTTTGGTTTTTGTTTTTGTGTTTTCAAGACAGGGTATCTCTCTGTGTAACAGTGTGTCCTGGGGATTCACCCCGTAGACCAGGCTGGCCTCGAACTCACGGAGATCCTCCTGTCTGCTGGGATTAAAGGTGTGTGCCACGTCCGCTAGTCTTTGATTATGAATCTTTGTCTGATCTATCTTTTGTCTGAGCAGTTTCTACTTCTTTGGCTACAGCTTCATGTACAGACCACTAAAGCCTGTCTGCTCACTGGAGCAAGCCTGGCGCATTCCTGCTCTGTCTCAACTCAGTAAATCTCAGTTACTGACATATCCTGAGAACTGTGTTGGTGCAATGGGAATATAAACTAACTGTGACATGTGGTGTCAGCCTTGCAGAACCAGGGTGCTTACTGAGACATTCTTAACCTTTAGCTACAGTTCAGGCAGGCAAAGGGACCCATCTCATCTCTGCCTCCAGCTTTAGTGTTGGAGGAGCCTCTGTTAGAGAAGTTTCAAGCTGTGTGATCTCAGTCTTAGGTTTCTGAACTGCAAATTTTGGATGGCACTATTAACAAAAACTACTGAAAGGATAAAACCACCTTGTGAAGATGCTTAGGTCAGTCTAGGCTATAGAGTGAGTCCCTGTTTTGGTTTGGTTTGGTTTTTCAAGACAGAGTTTCTCTGTGTATCTCTGGCTGTCCTGGAACTTGATCTGTTCCCTCTGTGGGTTCAAGCTGGCCCTGAACCCACAGAGATCCACCTGCTTCTGCCTCCTAAATTGTGAGATTAAAGGCATGTGCCACCACGACCCAGTTAAATCCCTGTCTTAAAAAAAATTCCGCCGGGCGTTGGTGGCGCATGCCTTTAATCCCAGCAGAAGCAGGCGGATCTCTGTGAGTTCGAGGCCAGCCTGGTCTACAGAGCGAGTTCCAGGACAGCCTCCAAAGCCACAGAGAAACCCTGTCTCAAAAAAAACCAAAAAAAAAAAAATTCCCAAGCTAGGCATGGAACCCTCCTTTAATCCTAAAACTAGGGAGGCAGAGGCAGGAGGATCTCTGTGAGTTCGAGGCCAAGCTCCTCTACAAATGGAGTTCCAAGGCAGTCAGGACCATGACACAGGGAGACCTACCTCAGAGTGTCCCCATCGTCACCACAGAGGCTTTAGGACTTCCAGGATCTCCAGAAGAAATCACAACTCATGCTACCTCCACCTTATTCCTCTGCCCTATTTTGCAGTCCTGATGCCCAGAGGTGCCATACCCACATGGTTCTTCCTCCAACCTTGGGCTGCAAAGGTCTCTACTGCAACCATTTTGCAGGAAGTCGCAGACACAGAAAAGCCGTGGCATTAAACCCTCACAAACACAGGCAACTCCACCTCCAGGCTCTCTGACACCCTCTTCTAGCCACTGTGGGTACACACACAGACATGCACACACACACATACACACACAAATAAATTCTTTAAAAAAAATCTAGGTGAATACATCTCCAGGAACAATACTTACGACTGACCTCTGACCTATGCACACATGTACTCACACACATACACACACACACACACACACACACACACAAAAGCGTATGTGAACTTATACCAAAAAAATAAAAAAGAGATTAGGTTGCAATGGAACCTACTACCCTAGACCCCTGAATCATGGGGTTTAAGAAGACAGAGACTTGGGGTTTGGATTTTTTACTTAGGCAATGTAGTCAGAGCTATGAACAGGAGACAACACTCTCTCTGAAGTCTCCTCCAATGACTGGGTTTCATCCCACACACACTACACACACACATGGCACATACACCATACACCAGATATATCACACATACACAACAACATGCCACCCATACACATAATACACACACAACACACAATGCACACACACACACCATGCATGTACAACACACAACACAGAAGTATGGTAGCTTATTATACAATTCTAGCACTTGGGAGATAGAGGCAGAGGTTCAGAAGTTCAAAGCCATCCTGGCTACAGGGAAGATTCAAGAACAATCTGGGATCCCATGTAAAACAAACAAGCAAAAGAATCAAATCATCCAATTCCGCAGTGCACCACCAATTCCTGCAGGTACCAGCAGAGCCCCGCCCCTCAGCCTCCCCACCTGTCACGCGCAGACTGTAATCTATGATTCATGGGAAAGCCAGGAAGGAGACGTTGACAGCCCAGCTCCCAGCCTGAAGGTTGAAGAATGTGCGAGATCATGTCATTTAAAAGAAACCATCTTCCATGTGTCCCGGATGCTTCTATTCAGGTCCCAGACAAGTCCTAGGAAGAACACCGCTTTCAGAAGTCAGGGCACCTCTGCCACAAAAGACAGGCTGAAGAAAACCAAAGGGTTCACATTTCTGCCTAGGCGGTCCAGTCTCTGTGGCATGTGATCAGCTAGTCGGCCACTCGGACCTGTGGGTCCCAAGTCAGTGTCCTCTCCATCTTTCATCAGCAAGGACAGCACTTTCTATGAAGCGGCTCACGGAAGCCGTCTAGTAATGAAAATGCATGTTACACACTCCCAGAGTTGTGTAAAGTCTGGTCTGAGTAGAGCCCTGAAAACGGGGATGGGGTTGAGGACAGCCTCCCACCCCACAGTCGACTGCAGCCCCTGCCTACCTGAATAACGGTGCTTGTAAACCGAGTGCGCTGAGACGGAGAGCTGACGGACAGCGTCAGGATGCAGACCCCAGCAGGAAGAGAGGAAGGGCTTCTAGGCCCAGCTCTGACCTCAGCCGAGCAGAAATACAACTGACCTCACAGATAGCAGGAGCAGGACCTCATCCTGCGCAGGGCAGTAGACCACATCACCCCTCACCAGCCCTAAAACATGACTACCAAGGAGATGCTCGGTCAGGAAGGAGCTTCTGCAAGCACGAGAGCCTCAGTTTGAGACCCAGCAACTCATGTGTCTCGCGGTTTTTGCTTTGTTTTTAAATGTGCTAGGTCTACATAGTGAGTTCCAGGCCAGGCAGAGCTACACAGTGAGTCCCTGTCTCAAATGAAAAATGCAGGAGAGATGGCACATCATTATAATCCCAGTGCTTGGGGTGGTAAAGACAGGCAAATCCTTGGGGCTTGATGGCCAGCCAGCCTAGCTCATTTGTCAAGCTACTGTGCAGTGAGAGACTCCCACCTCAAAAGCGAGGTGAACACCCTTCACTATTATCCTCTGGCCTCTAGCATCTGTACCTTACACACACATGAACACATACAGACACTCACACACAAACACGCACACACATGAACATATACGTGTGTATACACACAAACATGTACACACACAAACATACACATACATATATACACACATACAATCATGTACACACATGAACATAGACATACACACAACCGTGTACACACACAAACATATACTGACATACGCACATGTATACAAACACACATACCCTTGTGATCCTTGACAACCTAACATATACATGCATACACACACAAAGATGCATACACGTGAACATATATATATATATAGACACACACGCAAACATGCACTCACACGAACATACACATACATGTATACATGCATATATGCACAAACATACACACAACCGTGTACACACACGAACATATACTGACATGCGTACATGTATACAAGCACGCATACCCTTGGGATCCTTGACAACCTGATGCCAAAGAAACAGTGAGGAGAGCAAGGAGACAAACACAGGTGCCCAGAGACAGTCGGGCATGTGTAACAGCAGCCAGCAGGAAAGGGAGGAGGGCACGCAGGGCAGGAGGTCCGGGTTGGGGGCTCAGACAAATAGCCCTTCCCAGAAAGAACTGACGTGGCTGTCTTTTCCAGCACCCTTCAGCTTGGCTGGGGCCTGCCTGCTGCTGCAACCCTTTTCTGCGGGCAGAAGGCCATCCCAGCACGGACACCCTGTGCCTCGGGCCTGCATGCAGGCCGGGCCAAGTCATTCTCCGGTGTTGCAGGTGCTCCGCCAAATCAATCAAGGGCAGAGAATGTGTTTTGTCATCAAGAATTAAGAGCAAGACCGGAGGTCAGAGGAGTCGAGACCTGGAGCTTCGCTGAGCTCTTGTTTTCCAAGCCGGAGACCAGCCAGCTCCAGGGCTTTCCAGAGAAATCTACGCTTAGTCTAAAAGAAACCAAA